TTGAAAGCCTTTTTGCAAAGGTCTGGAACAAGACAAGGAGGCCCAATTTTACTGCTTGCTCGACATAGTACTGGAAGTCCTAGCTAGAGCAATAAGATAAGAGAAAAAAATAAAGAGCATCTGTATTAGTTCATTCCTGAAGAAATGCCTGAGACTGGGTAATTTATAAAGAAAAGAGGGTTAATTGCCTCATGGTTCTGCAGGATGTACAGGAAGCATAATGCTGGCCATCCGCTCAGCTTCAGGGGAGGCCTCAGAAAACTCACAATCATGGCAGAAGGCAAAGGGTAAGCAGGCTCATCTTACATGGCCAGAGCAGGAGCAAGAAAGAGAGTGGGGATGTGTTATATACTTTTAAACAAACATATCTCACAAGAACTTCCTCACTATTATGAGAACAGCACCAACAGGGATGGTGTTAAAACTTTCATGAGAACTCTACCCCCATGATCCAATTGCCTCCCAGCAGGCCTTACCTCCATCATTAGGGATTACAACTCAACATAAGATTTGGGCAGGGACATAGATCCAAACCATATCAGCATCCAAATTGGAAAGGAAGAAATCAAATTATCCTTGTTTGCAGATGATATAATCTTACATTTAAAAAAATGACTCCACCATAAAAACTACTAGAATTGATAAACAAATTCAGTAAAGTTACAGGATAGAAAATCAACATACAAAAATCAATAGCCTGTCTATATGTCAATAACAAACAATCTGAAAAATAAATCAAGAAAATAATTTTATTCATAATAGTTACAAATAAAATATAATAAAATACCCAGGAATAAACTTAATCAAAGAAGTTAAAGACCTCTTTAATGAAAACTGTAAAACATTGATGTTTCAAATTGAACAGAACACTAAAATGGAAAATATTTCATGTTCATGGATAGGAAGAAACAATATGGTTAAAATATCCATGCTACCCAAAGCAGTCTCCAGATTCAATGCAATCCCTATCAAAGTACCAATGACATTCTTCACAGACATAGAAAAAACAAATTTAAAATTTATGTGGAGCCACGAAAGACCCAGAATAGCCAAAGCTATCTTGAGCAAAAAGAACAAAACTAGAAGAATCACATTACTTGACTTCAATTTATACTACAGAGCTATAGTAACCAAAGCAGCATGGTACTGGCATAAGAACAGACACATAGACCAATGAAACAGAATAGCAAACCCAAATATAAATCCATACATCTATAGTGAGCTCATTTTCTACAAAGGTGCCAAGAACATACATTGGGGAAAGGACAGTCTCTTTAATAAATGGTGCTGGGAAAACGGGATATCAATATGCAGAAGAATGAAACTAGATCCCTATCTCTAGCAATATACAAAAATCAAATCAAAATGGATTAAAGACTTAAATCTAAGACCTCAAACTATAAAACTATTAAAAGAAAACATTGAGGAAACTCTCTAAAACATCTGGGCAAAGATTTCTTGAGTGATACCATGCAAGCGCAGGCAACCAAACCAAAATGAAAAAATGGGTTCGCATCAAGTTAAAATTCTTCGCAGCAAAGGCAAAAATCAATAAAGTGAAGAGACAACCCACAGAATGGGGAAAACAAAATCTGCAAACTATTCATCTGACAAAAGAATATTAATCATTAACATATAAGGAGCTTAAACAACTGAACCAGAAAAAATTTAATAATTTGATTAAAAAATGGGCAAAAAATCTATATAGATATTTCTCAAAAGAAAGCATACAAATGGCAAACAGTTATATGAAAAGATGTGGCCGGGTGCGGTGGCTCAAGCCTGTAATCCCTGCACTTTGGGAGGCCGAGGCGGGTGAATCACGAGGTGAAGAGATCGAGACCATCCTGGTCAACATGGTGAAACCCCGTCTCTACTAAAAATACAAAAAATTAGCTTCGCATGGTGGTGCATGCCTGTAATCCCAGCTACTCAGGAGGCTGAGGCAGGAGAATTGCCTGAACCCAGGAGGCAGGGGTTGCGGTGAGCCGAGATCGTGCCATTGCCCTCCAGCCCGGGTAACAAGAGCAAAACTCCGTCTCAAAAAAAAAAAAAAAAAAGAAAAGGTGCTCAATATCACTGACCATCAGAGAAATGCAAATCAAAACTACAATGAGGTATTATTTCACCCCAGTTAAAATGGTTTTTATCCAAAAGACAGACAATAACAAATGCTGGTGAGGATGTGAAGAAAAGGGAACCTTCATACACTGTTTGTGGGAATGCATGTTAGTACAACCAGTATGGAGAATAGTTTGTAGTTTCCTCGAAAAACAAAAAAGAACTGCCATATGACCCAGAAGTCCCAAAGCTAGATATATATCCCCAAGTAAGCACATCAAAGCAATATCAAAGAAGTATCTGCATTCCCATGTTTATTGAAGCACTACACACAATAGCCAAGATTGGAAGCAATCCACGTGTCCATGAACAGACAAATGGATACAGAAAATGTAGTATATATACACAATGGAGTACTATTCAACCACAAAAAAGAATAAGATCCTGTTATTTGCAACAACATAAGTGGAACTGGAGGCATTATGCTAAGTGAAATAAGTTAGGCACAGAAAGACAAACTTCACATTTAGCACTCACTTATTTGTGGGTGCCAAAAACTAAAACAATTGAACTCATGAAGATAGAGAGTAGAATAATGGTTACTAGAGGCTGGGAAGGGTAGTTGGGGGAAGTGGAGGAGAAAGTGGTGATGGTTAATGGGTACAAAAATATAGTTAGAACAAAAAAGATCTAGTATTTGATAGCACAATAGGGTGACTACAGTGAACAACAATTTATTGCATATCTAAAAATAACTAAAAGAGTAGAACTGGATTGCTTGTAACACAAAGTAAGGATAAATGCTTGAGGTGATGGATACATCATTTACCCTGGTGTAATTACTACAATGCCTGTATCAAAATATCTCATGTGCCTCATAAATATATATACCTACTATCTACCATTCCCCCACACACAAAAAGACAACATACACACATGAAGAGAAAATGCAAGTGTTTAGCCACTATTTCAGACCCACTGAATCAGAAACCCTGGGAGTAGAACCAATGATCCCATTTTAATAAACCCTCAGGCAGTTTTGATGTATACCAAAGTTTGAGTGCTGTGCAACTGGATGTGTAGTCCATGGACCAGCAGCATTGACATCACCTGTTAGAAATAGGTGTAGAAATATTGGCATAGCTTGTTAGAAATGCAGACACTCAGACCACACTTCGGATATTTTGAGTTTGAATCAACAGTTTAAAAAGATCCCTGAGTGAATCATATACACATTAAAGTTTGAGAAGCACTGACTTTGAGAATAAATGCTCTACGGCTGAAAAAGTATAACTTTTACAGCAGGAGTTCCATGCAAAACAGAACTGCTAGAGGAGAGAGGCAACAACTTGAACTAGAAAAAATTAAAAGTGAACTTAAGGGTATTAGTTACAATGCTTAAAAAAAAAAACAAAAAATGAAACCCCAAACAATAATTAACAAAAGAACTACTGAACAATGAAAAAAAAAAAAAAGAACCCATGATTTTTTAACTAAACAAGCAAGTGGGTGAACTAAAGAATATGATTTATGTTGAGTTCAAATTAGTAACCTGAAAGAACAATTGGAAGAAGTATCTTAAAATAAGGAGCAATAATTCAAAGAGGTAGAAATCATGAGCAAAAAAATAACAGACTTGAAAGATAGATCCTGGAGACCTACATGTAAATATTAGAAAAATATAAAAGCACAGATTGAGGAGAGGCAAAATGAGTTAAAATTAGATTTATCCAATTCAGCAGATGGAAATATATTACCAAGATCCACACACTTAGACATATCCTGGTAAGATTTCTGAACTCTAAGGATTCAGATAAATCTTATAGAGACAGAAAGATCAAACATGCAAATATCTATCTATAGACACATACAAACACATATATAGAAGAAGGAGAAACATTAGATTGTTACATGACTGTGTAATCTACAACTCAGGAGCTAATTAAAATTACTAATATCAGAGAGAAAAGAACTACAATCCAAGAATTTTATATCTGAGGCAAGATATTATCATTCTTTTATCAGGAAAAAAATATATACTTGTGGCTATGCAGGAATTCATAGAAAATATCATCCTCCTATTCCATCTTAAGGAAACCAGATCAGAGTAGAAGGTGAAGAAAGGAAACAAAAATGGCAACCAATAGAGCTTGCAACAAGTAAAGTTAGATGCAAACAGGTGTTAACAGAGTGAGATTAATATAACAGCTAAGTAAGTAATCTTTAAAAATAAGAATTTACTGCAAGAGAAATCTCATACTAGCCTAGAACCCAAACTATTAAGCCATATCAGCAAAAAAGGCATTTGAAAGCAGATTAGATTCTATTCTGTAGAGTAAAAATTTAAAGATTACCTGGCAGAAAAAATGGGGAAGTAAAGGTATTCAAAGGTCTCATTTATTGGTGGGAACAGTGAAAAAAAGGGTGATTTAGTTGAAAGGAAAAAGCATATAAATTTTATATGATAGTCTAGAAACTTGTGTGTGATGATAAAGGGAAGGTAATTACCAGTAGAACTTCCAATTAATAAGAAAACTGGAGAATGTAAAGCAATCTGAACAAATCAGCAAAAATGAAGAAAGAAAAAAAAAGGAAATGCAAAGTAAGACCAAAGATAAGCATTAAATAAGATAGAATAAACAAAATAGTTGTTATACTTAATATGAATGGGATAAACTTTTCTATTTAAAACAGAGACTGGCAGGTTGGGTTTAATAACAAAACCAAGCAATACATTGTTTATTTTTTTTTAATGCTTACAACAAAGTGAGTTTTCTAAAGACTAAAAAATGGAATGGGCAAAGAGATATCACAAAGAGTACGCAGAAATTCATATTAATACCAGATGGGCAGAATTTAAGCTTAAAATCACCAATGAAATTAAGGATGAGTAATATATAATAATAAAAAGTACATTTTTTTTTTTCTTTTTTGAAACTGGGTCTCACTGTTGCCCAAGCTGAAATACAGTTGCACAATGATTGTGCACTGCAGCCTTGAACTCCTGGGTTCAAATGATCCTCCTACCTTGGCCTCCCAAAACACTAGAATTACGGGCATGAGCCACCATGCTTATCCAAAACTACAATTTAGGTAAAAGATATACTAGTCATTACTCTGTATGTATTAGATGCAGCAACTAAATATATAAAGTATTAGAAATGCAAGGAGAACCTCATTTAGAAATATAATTAAAATTAATATTTTTATATATGTCTTTCAGAATCATTCAAATCCAGTGGGGCAAAGAATAGTAATAACGACAAACAGAAATTAAACAGCAAAACTGTTGAAATGATGGGGTTCAGGACATTCTACCCCAAAATATGGCAGCTGGCCATACTGAGTATCTTTATTTCAGCTGAAGGAATCTGAAAAATGGCAGGTACAGGAAGAACACTCTGACTCTTTCTTCTCCTCTAAAATAGTACAAAAGACCCTAACATGAGAGGTACCTTCCCGATACTCAGAGGTAAGAACACCTTAATCACCGAAGATGGAAAGAAGGAGAGATGTTGAGAGGAATACAAACCAATAGGTCTTGCTTAGTTCCTCCAGTTTACTATCCTAGTTCAAACCCTCTTTGCCCTATCATATTTTTCCACAACTTTCTACTCTTTGTCAAACCTAGTATAAGAATACTCAGGGTTAACTGTTTCTTTGGGTCTTCATTTCCATTTCTGTGTTATGTAAAACAGATACTAAATAAAGTTGTATTCTTTTCTCTTGTTAATCTGTATCTTAAAGTCCCAGTAAACAATCTAGAAGTGAGAAGATTTTTCCTCCACTACAATATTAAATCATATATCTGTTGAATAGAAAGTATTAAGTAGAAAATATTCCTATTTTTGCACATTCATGGAATATTTATGACATTTGGTCTTATTCTTGGTGACAAAAAACAACTTTTTTAAAAAGGACAGTTTTACAGTTTGTATTCTCTGATAAACCTCAGAAATAAAAAACAAAGAATGACAAAAATTCTAAATACTTAAGAATAAACCACAACAGTTAAAAACACTTTAATAGCTGTGGGTCAAAAAGAAAATAAAATCAAAATTAAAAATTATTTAAAAGCAATAGCAAGAACTACTATTTATGTCAAACCAATAAGGCATATAAAAATCTATGAGAGGAATATTTGCAACTTTAAGTGCCTTTGCCATTAAAGATTAAGAGCTGAAAAGTAAAGAACAATACTCATCTTTAAGAAATTAGAAAAAGGGCTGGGCATGGTGGCTCACACCTGTAACCAGCGCTCTGGGAGGCTGAGGCAGGCAGATCACCTGAGGTCAAGAGTTCAAGACTAGCCTGACCAACATGAAAAAACCTTGTCTCTACTAAAAATACAAAATTAGATGCACATGGTGGTGCATGCCTGTAATCCCAGCTACTTAGGAGGCTGAGGTAGGAGAATCGCTTGAACCCAGGGTGTGGAGGTTGCGCTGAGCTGAGATTGTGCCGTTGCACTCCTGCCTGAGCAATAAGAGTGAAACTCTGTCTAAAAAAAAAAAAAAAATTAGAAAAAGAAAAAGAAAACAAACAAAACCAAACCAAAGTGGAAAGATTAAGATGGTGAAGGAAAATAATTAACAAGAAAGCAAAATTATAAGTAAAATTGTAGAAAAGATAAATAAACCCGAAAAGGAAAATCAATAGAAGTCTGACTAAAAGAAACATACACAAGGTAAAAAATGAGAGAGAGAGAGACAATCAAAGATAAGACATTGAAAACATTATAGGAGAATATTAGATTCAATGGCAACATTTCAAAAAATGTAGAGCGAATAAATGATGATCTTGCAAAATATAAACTAACAAAATTGACCCAAGAAGAAATACAAAACTTCAGTAGAGCAAATGCTATAGAAGAGACAGGAGGAGGCTTAAAAGACCTACTTCCTAAAAAATCCCCAGGACCTGATAGATTCAGAGATAAGTTCTAGCTGATCTTTAAAATACAAACAAGTACTTTTTCATAACGGGTTTGCCGCCAGAACATAGGTGTCATGAAAACTACCCCTAAAAGCCAAAATGGGAAAGGAAAAGACTCATATCAACATTGTCATCATTGGACACGTAGATTCGGGCAAGTCCACCACTACTGGCCATCTAATCTACAAATGCGGTGGCATCGACAAAAGAACCATTGAAAAATTTGAAAAGGAGGCTGCTGAGATGGGAAAGGGCTCCTTCAAGTATGCCTGGGTCCTGGATAAACTGAAAGCTGAGCCTGAACGTGGTATCACCATTGATATCTCCTTGTGGAAATTTGAGATCAGCAAGTACTACGTGACTATCATTGATGCCCCAGGACACAGAGACTTCATCAAAAACATGATTACAGGGACATCTCAGGCTGACTGTGCTGTCCTGATTGTCACTGCTGGTGTTGGTGAATTTGAAGCTGGTATCTCCAAGAACAAGCAGACCCAAGAGCATGCCCTCCTGGCGTACACACTAGGTGTGAAACAACTAATTGTTGGTGTTAACAAAATGGATTTCACTGAGCCACCGTACAGCCAGAAGAGATATGAGGAAATCATTAAGGAAGTCAGCACTTACATTATGAAAATTGGCTACAACCCTGACACAGCAGCATTTGTGCCAATTTCTGGTTGGAATGGTGACAACATGCTGGAGCCAAGTGCTAACATGCCTTGGTTCAAGGGTTAGAAAGTCACCCGTAAGGATGGCAATTCCGGCGGGACTACACTGCTTGAGGCTCTGGACTGCATCCTACCACCAACTCATCCAACTGACAAGCCCTTGCACCTGCCTCTCCAGGATGTCTATAAAATTGGTGGTATTGGTACTGTTCCTGTTGGCCGAGTGGAGACTGGTGTTCTCAAACCTGGTATTGTGGTCACCTTTGCTCCAGTCAATGTTACAACTGTGAAATCTGTTGAAATGCACCATGAAGCTTTGAGTGAAGCTCTTTCTGGAGACAATGTGGGCTTCAATGTCAAGAATATGTCTGTCAAGGATGTTCATCGTGGCAACGTTGCTGGTGACAGCAAGAATGACCCACCAATGGAAGCAGCTGGCTTCACTGCTCAAGTGATTATCCTGAATGATCCAGGTCAAATTAGTGCTGATTATGCCCCTGTACTGGATTGCCACACTGCTCACATTGCATGCAAGTTTGCTGAGCTGAAGGAAAAGATTGATCGTCGTTCTGGCAAAAAGCTGGAAGATGCCCCGAAGTTCTTGAAGTCAGGCGATGCTGCCATCGTTGATATGGTTCCTGGCAAGCCCATGTGTGTTGAGAGCTTCTCAGACTATCCACTTCTCGGTTGCTTTGCTGTTCATGATATGAGACAGACAGTTGCCGTGGGTGTCATCAAAGCAGTGGATAAGAAGGCTGCTGGAGCTGGCAAGATCACCAAGTCTGCCCAGAAAGCTCAGAAGGCTAAATGAATATTATCCCGAATACCTGCCACCTCAGTCTTAATCAGTGGTGGAGAAAGAACTGTTTCAGAACTGTTTGTTTCAATTGGCCATTTAAGTTTAGTAGTAAAAGACTGGTTAATGGTAACAATGCATCGTAAAACTTTCAGGAGGAAAGGAGAATGTTTTGTGGACCACTTTTTTTTCTTTTTTGCGTGTGACAGTTTTAATGTATTAGTTTTTAAAATCAGTACTTTTTAATGGAAGCAACTTGACCAAAAATTTGTCATAAAATTTTAAGACCCATTAAAAAAGTTTAATGAGAAAAAAAAAATACAAACAAGCAAGCCAGGTAATTCATATGGAATTGGTACTTTTCCAGAATATAGAAAGAGAAATCTCTGGCCTCTGCCTTTTTCTCTTCATCATTTTTCCTCTCTTTAATGTTTGTCTCCCAGTTTACTTCACACAAACACTTTGGTACACTTAACTGTCCTCACCGACTTGCTGGTTTCAATGTCAGCTCTCCTTGCCCTCTTCCCGACTACCTTCCCTCATCAAAATGTCTGCCTCCTTTGGCAGCTGGTCAAGCTGGGCCTTAGGAGACCAACGTTGCCTGCCCAGGTACTGCTTATGAGTTTTATTCTGAAGGGTGTCCTTTGAGCTGAAGGTCTATCTTCCCTCCATGGAGAACATTGACTTCCTCTGTGGTCTCTGCTGTTTTTAGGTTTCCAGTAACAGAATATCAACTCAAAATGTCATAAACAACAAGGGAATATATTATCTTAAATAATTCAATTGATTCAATGGTTGAGCAATATCATCTAGAATTCAGCTTCCTTCTCTGTGCTACTATTTATGACACCCACTTAATTGTAGGGTTGCTTTTCCTCATTGTCCTAATATGGCTACCAGCACAACTGGGTACACGTGTTTGCTTGTCCATGTGCAGGATTTGAAGACAACTGGCTCTTTCCCTTGACAACTCTGGTGAAACACATCTCACATTTCATTAGCCTAAAAACAGGCAGGGAACACTGTTGGCTTTGAGTGATCATCTGAGAAAAGACTGCTAGAAAGACAGCCACGATGCCCTTTTCAGTTCCCACCTCATCTTCCCAATTGGTCAGCAGAGAAATCCAGCACTAACACTTAGGAATGCCTAACAAAAATGGAATTTATCACCATGAAGGGTAGGTACCAAGATATGCTATACCCCCCAAAATACGTCCTTTTGTTATATTGAATATTTTAGCTAAAGGGCATCGAGGCCACAGACACAGAAAAAGTTCCAAAAATAGGGCACAAATTTTCCTTTAGTAAAGGAAATTTACATTTACAAAGAAAATTTCCGTCTTTAAAGGTGTCTCCTTCTCCCTAATGGTGAAGAGGACTCAGTAACTCTTATCAATGGAGAAAGCACTAAAGAATCCTTGTTTACTATACCTTTTCTTGGTCACCTTCTTATAACTTGCTTCCTGACCCAGAAGTCCCAAATCTCTTTTCCCTTATTTATCCTAAGCCTCATCTGGCTGCCTCCTTGAGCAGCATTTATCTTGATAAATTCTGGTGTTTAAGTATGTAGATATATACGTAACTAAAATTGTTTTTTTTTTCTCTTGTTAGTCTGTCTGTAATTTGTCTGATTCATGGACTCCAAGCCAATGAATCTAAGAGGAGTAAATTTAAAAATTCTATTTTCTACCCTGATAACCAACAGAAAAATCAATCCTTTGACACAGAAGATGTTTTATTATTATTATTATTTTTTTACCACACCTCATCTTGATTAGTTACTTGTTTATAGAAAGACTTCCCTCTTTGATTCTTTTTGTTGTCGTCGCTGTTTTGAAATGGAGTCTCACTCTGTCATTCAGACTGGAGTGCAGTGGCATGATCTCTGCTCACTGCAACCTCTGCCTCCCAGGTTCAGGTGATTCTCCTGCCTCAGCCTCCTGAGTAGCTGAGAATACAGGTGTGCACCACCATATCCAGCTAATTTTTGTATTTTTAGCAGAAATGATTCATTCATTACTGGCTGTAAAATAGTGTATCTTTGCAATCACAAGCAGCACTATGTGGAATAATTTGCTATAGGGAAATGGAATAAATGTTTTGCTAACTCAGATATGCCTCTGGTGGGGTTTGTTCTGTACTGTATGCTGAAAGTCCAAAAGGAAATAAAATGTTGTCCTATTACAAACCACAGTTTGGACTTAGAAGATGACAATAGGTTATCTAAGATGAAAATTGAGCAAAATGATCCCAGTTGGGAATTTGCAAACCCTAGGTCAAAAGAGCCCCTCCAGCATAAAACTCGAGCAATATGTGGGAAGTCAAAAATTGGTCTCCTAAGGCCCAGCTTGACCAGCTGCCAGAGTAGGCCAGAGGAAGCCTAGGAGATCAGAATGGTTTCAGGGAATAGTTCCAACTATTCTCTATAGGCACACTGCCCAGAGCTGCCTCAGGGCACTGCTTACTACATCCTGGCTGTTTCAGCCAATTCAGCTGTGACTCAAGTAGTCACATATAGAGCTTGGGCTGCTGCGCCAAAGGGTACAATCCATAAGCCTTTGCAGCATCCAGGTCCACATGGCACTAATTCTGCAGGCATGCAAAATGCAAGAGAGTGATGGAGGTGTGGAGGCTTCCACCTAGATTTCAGAGGATATAATGGAAAACCTAGGAGTCCAGGCAGAAACCTGCCACAGGGATAAAGTTGCCAGATAAGCTCCCACAGGAGCAATGCCTAGTGGATCTGTGGGAACATAGCCACTGTCAAGACCACAGGACTGTACAGCTACGGCAGTGTGAAACACTTGCCTGGGAAAGCTACAGGCACCAGACTCCAACCTATGCAGTAAGGCCATTGGGGTGGGGCTATCTGAGGCCTTGGGGACCCAATCCCTGTACCAGTGTGTCCAGGAGGCAGCACATGGAATGAAAGACTATTTTAAAGCATCAATATTTAATTGTCTGCCCTACTGGTTTTAGATTTGTATGGGGCCTGTTCCTCTCTTCTCTTGGCCTGTTTTCCCTTTCGGAACGGGAATGTTTACCCAATGTCTGTCCCAACATTGTATCTGGAAAGTAAGTAAGTTTTAAAAAAATTTTCTCAGGCTTTCAGATGAGACTTTGGACTTTTGAGTTGGTGATGGAAGAAGTTAAGACTTTTAAAACTATTGGGATCAAGTGATTGTTTCTCTTTCGTGAGAAGAACATGACTTTTGGGGCCTAGGACAAAATACTATGGCTTAGATGTGGTTTATTACTCTCAAAACTCAAATATAAACTAAAATTTGATCCCCAGTGTGGCACTGTAGGGAGGTGGGGCCTAGTGGGAGGTGCTTGGGTCATAAGGATTAATTCCTCATAAGTAAATTAATACCCTTCCATAGGAGTGAGTGAGTTCTTGCTCTCACAGAATGGAATTAGTTACCAGAAAGTGTGCTGTTACAGCAACGAGTTTTGCTTTCTAGACTCTCTTGTTTCCTCCCTCACCATGTGATCTCTTTGCACATGACTGCTCACTTTTCTGCTTCTCTGAATGGTAGCCTCAGAAGTTGAGTGCTATGTTATTGAACTTCCCAACCTACAGAATCGTGAGCTACCTAAACCACTTTTTTGAAAATAAACTATCCAGCCATAGGTATTCTGTTATGGCAACACCAAGTGTTCTAACACAAGACAAGGGGGAAAAAAACATGATTATCTCAATTGATGTAGAAAAAGCATTTGACAAAATTCAACAGCCTTTCATAATTAAAAAAAATCAACAAACTACGAATAGAAGGAAACTGTCTCAGTATAATAAAAGCTTTCTGTGAAAAACTCACCATGAACATAAAACTCAATGGTGAAAGACTGAAAGCTTTTTCTCTAAAATCAGGCATAAAGCAATGATGCCTACTTTTGCTACTTCTATTCGACATAGTACTGGAAGTTCTAAACACAGTATTTAGGCAAGCAAAAAAGACGTAAAAAACATTCAAGTCAGAAACAAAAAAGAACTGTCTCTGTTCACAGATGATATAATCTTAGATGTTGAAAACCGTAATTCATCAAAAAACTGTTAGAAGTAATAAATGAATTCAGCAAAGCAGCAGGATACAAAGTCAATGCGCAAAATTCAGTTGCATTTCTATACACTAGAAACAAACATCTGAAAATTATGAAAACACTCTCATTTATAGCAACAAAAGTAATTAAATACTTAGATACTAAAGTGAGAAAATAGAAATGTGAATATTGAAAAGTACAAAACCTTGTTAAAAGAAATCAAAGAACACATAAATAAATAGAAAGGCATCCCCATGTTCATGGATTGAAAGATTTAATATTGCTGAGATGTCAGTGCTTTCTCAAGTCATCAGCAGATTCAGTGCAATCCCTATCAAAATTTTAAAGATTTTTTTTATCAGGAATAGAAAAAAACCATCCTAAAATTCATAGGAAATCTTAGGTGGTCCCTGAATAATCAAAGCCATCTTGCAAAAAAACTACGCTGGTGATAATATAATTTGTATATGTGTCCCTTGCAAATTTCATGTTGAAAGGTGATCTCAAATATTGGAGGTAGGGCCTCCTGGGAGGTGTTAGGGTCATGGGGGTGGACTTCTCATTAATGGCTTGGAGTAATGCAGTAATGAATGAGTTCTTGTTCTATGAGTTACCATAAGATCTGCTTGATAAAAAGAGTCTGGCCCCTCCCTCCTCTCTTTTTTGTTGCCTCTCTCACCATGTAGCATGCCTGCTCCCCCTTTGCCTTCCATCATGATTGTAAACTTCCTGACACCCTCACCAGAAGCAGATATTGGCATTATTCTTCTTGTACACTCTGTAGCACTGTGAGCCAAAATAAACTTCATTTCTTTATAAATCACCCAACCTCAGGTATTTCTTTACAGAAATGCAAAGTAGACTTCTTGTACACTCTGCAGAATTGTGAGCCAAAATAAACGTCTTTTCTTTATAAATCACCCAATCTCAAGTATTTCTTTATAGAAATGCAAAATAGACCTCTTGTACACTCTGCAGAACAGTGAACCAAAACACACCTCATTTCCTTATAAATCAACCAACCTCAAGTATTTCTTCATGGAAATGCAAAATAGTCCAATACAACAAGACTCACATTTCTTGATTTTAAAACTTACTATACAGTTATAGTGATTGAAACATTGTGGTACTGGCATAAAATTACACATAACCAATGAAATCAAATAGAGACCCAAGAAACAAATCCTCACATGTGTGGTGAAATAATTTTCAACAACGGTACTAAGATCATCCAATGGGGAATACACC